TCAACATAGGCTACATTTGTGAATGCACATTTTCTGCAAAGTTGCGCGTCAATCGCAACTTCATTGTGTTGTTACTCCTTTCGAGCTGAATTTCACAAAATTGGTCAGCTCCCGACAGCATCAGGTGTTTTATTAATGGTGAGTATAATTATTTATTTATTTATTTCAATGAATGTATTCGATTAGATATCATAATATTTAGGCTATAATAGGCTATTATATATCTGGTTGGTTTGTATTGGTGACAGAATATGTAAATGATATGCGTGTGGCCCGTGAGACTTGCACTTGCACCATAGTGCGGCCCAGTGGAAAAAAAGGTTCAGAACCACTGATCTATTTCATTCCGCGTCGCCCCATCAAGCTCTCGCTGGATCCACTCCTCTGCTATCAATGAGAGGAGCATCTGTACTTCCTCAACAGACAATTAAACAGCCACTTTTTGGTTGTTAAAAAAGGTGCGCTTGTTCAAAACAGTTGCGTTCGATCCTTCGTTGGCTGTGCTGATTTAAATCTAGCGGTTCTTTTGTGTTTGTGTTGCAAGTTCAGTGACGCAGGTAGTGACGATTCTCTCCGGCCAATCAGTGATCAGCAGAGTTTACACGTCACGTTTTGGTAACGGTACGGTTCGCTTGGAACCTCAACCGAGGTGGTACTAAAAAAAGTACCAGGTACTGTACCCAGTGGAAAACCCCCCAAAAGTGAACCGTACCGAGCCGTACCGTGCCGTACCATGCAGTGGAAAAGCGCCATTAGGTAACACTCTACCTCTGATATTGTCAGGACCAAGACTTTTTTTAGTATTAACTCTCTGGAAAAGACCTTTAACCTGTGTCAAACTAATATTAAAAGATTGACTGCATGCCGATTCTTGTTTTAAAACGTCAATGTCTGACTTAACACATTTTATTTAAGGTTTGATGATAATGATTTTAAGTTCCTCAGTAAACTGTTTCGCAGAACTGAATCCATGCAATTTAAAATCTCTATCCCCTCTATCTTCTTTACACCCTGCCATTGCCTTCATACCTTGCCAGGCTGATCTTAAGTTATTGCCACTTATCCGTTTCTCAATTTTATTCTTATATCTAATTTTATCCTTATTTATTTGAACTCTCACAGCCTTTTTTTAACTCCTTAACTGTATTCATATCACCCTCTTTAAAGGCTGTTTACTATGCAGAAGGTCTTTTGTGTGACTAGACAGCCATGGTTTGTTGTTTGGGAAATCCATAACAGTTTTGTTAGGAATGATCATTATCTGTACAAAAAGACACATAGTCACACACCACTTCTGTAAGTTCATCGATACTTTCTGATGCATCTTGAAAAACAGACCAATCTGTACAGTCAAAACAGCCCTGTAAGGCCAGTGAGCTGTCCTCTGACCACACCTGCACCTTCCTTTCCAGCGTCTTCTCCCGCTGTAACACAGATTTATAAGCTGGAAGGAGATGTACTACATTGTGGTCTGAGAAGCCAGTTGGGAGGGCCTGTTACAGCTTTCATTGCCCCCTTTATCGATCAATAACGGAGGTCTAGTTGGAATTGGGATGCAGTTTTTTTAAGTAAGTTTTTAACTCACACTTGAACTCCTCCTTTCTTTCCCCGTTTCCTAATCCGTGGCTTCTTCGGAGGCCTCTCCTCGACAAGGCCGTTTACCTGACTCCGAAGCTTTATATCCGAATCGGATCGAGCCAGGATAGTCCAAGCTGTCGCCTACCTGCTCGTCCAAGTCACGATACGTCCATCTAAACCAGAGTAAGAACTCCCGGGAATACCAAAGTCTGTTTGTTTTGTCAGGCTGGTGACACATCACTCCGCTCATAATACTCAGCCAAATAATCAAATAAAACACATCCATCCTATCCCCATAAAAACCTGCCGGCGCGTGTCCAAAAATAAACTCTCCACCACCGTAAATAAGTCAGTAATTACATTTACATTTAGTCATTTAGCAGATGCTTTTATCCAAAGCGACTTACAAATGAGGACAATGGAAGCAATCAAAATCAACAAAAGAGCAATGATATACAAGTGCTATAACAAGTCTCAGTTAGCTTAACGCAGTACATGTAGCAATGGTTTTTTAAATAATATAATAAATAAAAAGAAAACAGACAAAATAGAAAAAGAATAGAGCAAGCTAGTGTTAGAGGTCTTTTCGCTTTTGCTAATTGTATAATAAATAAAAAGAAAACAGATAGAATACAAAAAGATTAGAAAGCTGGAGTTAGTTTTTTTTTTAAGAATAGAATTAGAATAGAGAGTGCTAGAGTTAGAGGGTCAAATAAAGATGGAAGAGATGTGTTTTTAGTCGTTTCTTGAAGATGGCTAAGGACTCAGCTGCTGGGATTGAGTTGGGCAGGTTATTCCACCAGGAGGGAACAGTTAATGTAAAAGTCAGTGAAAGTGATTTTGTGCCTCTTTGGGATGAACAATAATGCGTCGTTCACTTACAGAACGCAAGCTTCCTCTGAAGTAATGAATTTAGGTAAAGGGGTGCAGAGCCAGTGGTGGTTTTGTAGGCAAACATTAATGCCTTGAATTTTATGCGAGCAGCTATTGGTAGCCAGTGCAAATTGATAAACAGAGGTGTGACGTGCATTCTTTTTGGCTCATTATGACATAATATACCTCTGTAAATAAATACAATTTAAATTCAGATCTCACACACTTTAATGCACTTTGAATGGAACATATAAGCATCCCTTTGAACTAGAATCATAGCGGAATATCCTGTAATGTCCACTTCGCAGGGCACTTATAGTCGAATAGAACAAATGTCTGAAGTGTAAGAGACACATACAAAATGTTCAGAGTGTTGAGTCGCGAGGACTGGAATTGAGAACCGCTGATATAGAGTTGGAACAGGGAGAACACAATCTGCTGTGGATGAACAACCCTGGCTCAGGGAGTAGATATGTTGACTGTGAGTTTTCACAGCTTGAATCCCAGTTTCACCTTACCAGTTGATGAAGTGTCCTTGGGCAAGACACTGAATATCACTTACTCCTCATGGTTGGGTTATGGCACCTTACATGGTAGCCTCCACCACTGGTAGGTAGAACTGACTTGTAAGTCAGGCTGGTTCATTTTATTTCAAAATGTATTTCTGACAAAAAACAGAAATACAGTCTTACTTCAGTCTTTTTTTTTAAATCTAAGACTGAAGTTATGCTTCTCAGCTTCCCTCACCAGCTCCATAACACTGGCTCAATACCCCTAACTATTGATGGCTCTGTGCTGAATAAATCTGAATCTGAATCTTGGAGTGATCTTGGATTCTTCTTTGACATTTAACCCCCATGTGCAATATACAGTTAATATTTCCTTTTTTAAACTTTAGACATATTGCAAACTTGGATCCTATGCTATCCTTTTCAGTAGCAGAAAAACTGATTTGAAACTGATACCTTTATCTTTTTTAGAGAAGTCACTTTAAACAAATTGCAGTACACCCAAAACTTAGCAGCTAGGATCTTAAACAGAACCAGAATAAGTGGTATAAGTGTAAGTAAGATCTGTTGGCAAATCATTAAGTTTGGAAAAACTCATTACAAGAGCTCATTGTGATAGTGATTGTAAGGGCTCTTAAAATAATCTTTTGTACTATATTTAAATTACCATGTTTCAGCTTCAAAGCAAACTCTAGGTAATCATTCTCTGTTGCATCTTTGCCATCAATCTTTCGCTCCAGGGTGAAGTCCCTCACAGCCCAGATGAAACTAGGGAAGAACTTCACAAATTCATTTGAATCATCAACATCCTCGTCTGATGATTTGACCTTGATGCACTCTGTTAGTTCAGTAACATATCTGACAGTTTGTTAAGTTATGAACACAAAGTGACTGTCCAACATGTTTCCATTAGTATTGGTATGTATTTTAAATAAAAGTGTTGTTCTATCATGTACATTTACATGACAATCAAATGACAATAAAATGTATAATATTGATTTAACAGCATCTAAAACAACATTTACGAATAAACTAATTTACATATGTACACATTTACAAATACATATTTAATCTAATGGAAGTGCCTCACGGAATTAATCAGTTGATTCTGTTGTATTTATGATGAATGAGATTATGTTTTTCAATTGTTTTAACACAGTTGAGTCATTTACTTAATTATAATATTTCATTCTGTTCTTTGTGACTTCTGGTGCCAACTTTGACATAATTTATTATGTATTACAAAAGTATTACATAATTTTAAACAAGAATACTCTTTAAAATCCTACAATTAATATAATTTCTGTAATTGTTTAAACATTTAATTGTTTTACTTATGTGATGTTTTATATTTGTATTGTGTTTTATTTGTTTCATTGTTTTTGCACAAAAATAGAACTTGACATGCATTTTGGGTAGTTTTCGACATTTGGCACAACAGGTTTGCTTTGCTGTAAATGATAAATGGGCAACTGACTTAAAGGGGTGGTTGATTGCGATTTCACTTTTTTAATGTTAGTTAGTGTGTAATGTTGCTGTTTGAGCATAAACAATATCTGCAAAGTTACGAAGCTGAAAGTTCAATGCAAACGGAGATATCGTCTTTTATGCTACCTGTGCACCACCAACCCCTATACCTGTTACTTTTAGACGAAACCTGCGCTCCCTTTCACCCTCCCATCTTTCCTCCGTTGTATCCTCCTCTCTTCCCTCACCTACCCATCTCTCATCTCTGGATGTGAATGCAGCAACTGACACTTTATGCTCTACGTTAACCTCTTGTCTAGATGATATTTGTCCTCTCTCCTCCAGGCCAGCACGGGCTGCCCCTTCTAACCCCTGGTTATCCGATGTTCTTCGAGCACTTCCTGTCTGTTTGCCTCTTCAAGAAGAATCGCTTTATGTATTCCCCAATTGTAAGTCGCTTTGGATAAAAGCGTCTGCAAAATGACTAAATGTAAATGTAGAAGGCTACAGGCAGGTGAGTTTTATCAGGGTTGGAGCAAAACTCTCCAGGAAAGTGGCCTGGAAGTGCTGAGTTTGCCCATCACTGGGTTAATGGTGTTTTGGATATTGGAAATTATATTGCTGTTTACCTGTTTCAATGTTATGATACTTTGCTTGGCTTTATTAATACCATACATGCTTGAATGTAATAATGCTTGACTTGTTGTGAAATGAACAACAGTGAGCGCAAGCTACATTAAAGTGATTATTACGTTTTAAATATGGTTATTTTTCTTACAAAAACGCATCGATTCGCTACAGGAGGCATTTATTCACCCCCACCCCCCACACCTAGGATGACTTGAGGGTGAGTAATTTATGGGCTATTTTTTGGGTGAACTACCCCTTTAACAGCTTCTTCAATGCTGTTATTAGAGCTTATGCTTAGAGCTTTAAGTTTAGCTGATTTTAACTTTGATTTTGCATTACCTGCTTTGAATTGTAACCAATAAAATAAGTGATTTTATTGCTACAAAATTGCCTCCTGTGGGACTTTACTTAAAAACTACAAACCACGCCTCAACAAAGAACAGAAGTGTCTGGTTCAGGACAAAACCAGGGGGAAAAAAAGTGAATAAACTTATATTAATAATTCACTCATTATATGCCAACACGTGATGTTCAACGGACTTAATTTAACTGCAACTTTGGCTTGTGTAGTTGTCTAGTTATATATGAAACTCAAGAGTCATTCAACAGCCTCATACAGATCATAATAAATGTAATCCACTATTCAACTAAAAAGTTTCTGGAACATTTTATTATATGATTTTAATAACACCCACCTTTTAAGCTCTGGATCATTTTTACCAGTAGCAGTCTAGCTTGCTCACTTGGTCCTTTCGTCTTGTTGTTGAACACGTGGTATCTCTGATGATATTTCTGAACGACTTTCTTCAGTGGCACAGACAGATTAATATATTCTTCTATAGTCATGTTTTCTTCCTCCAGTTCGTCTCCTCTGGTGAAGAGAATCCAGGTATTCTTCAGGCGCTCTTCTCCCAGCAGCTCCTCAATCTTCTCCACAGTTTTCCTCTCTTTTCCAGTGAATCTGTCAGCTTTGATGACCAGCAGAAACACACAGGGACCCGATTCACATCTCTGGAGGGTCTTTATAAGTTTATGCTGAATCTCATGATCACTCAGCTCTGTGTTAAATAATCCTGGTGTGTCATAAACAGTGACCCATCGTCCACAGACCCTCCCAGATTCCACAGCTACGTCTCGTGTGACTGAAGTAGAGCTTTTCATTGATTTGAAAGCTTCTTTTCCCAGTATTGTGTTTCCTGAAGCACTTTTCCCAATTCCTGTTCTTCCCAGTAACACCACATTCAAACCTCCGATCATTTCTGCCATTATCTATGTGTGGCCTAAAAAGCTAAAAAGTGCTGCAAGACAAAAATGAACACACACAATTGTGTTAGTCAGCAGATGGTGCTGCCTTGCACATGACACAGCAGATGAATCTTAGGGTGCTTTCACACTTGGTTCTATTGCTTGGTCCGAACCAGAGTTCAATTGCTCCCCCCTCCCCCTGCTGGACTGTGTTCACATTATATTATTTGGGTCTGAACCGCGGTTCGTTTGCGTCATCAAGCCAGCAGCTGTTTACCCCGTTGCTTAGTAACGACAGCGCAGGAGAAAACGGCAAAATGCATAGCATTGCTCTCTTCAATTTTATATTTATGTTTTTGAACCGTTGGTTTTGTTTCCAAAGCTTCAGTACATAACGGCACTTACGTCTGCCTTACGAATGTACTGCAAATGCTCTAAAACTGCTGAAGGCGAACAGAAATGAGACATACAGCTCTCTGTTGGAAACGCGTCAGCCACGCTCTGCAGGAAAGTGAGTGAAACACACATACAAACACACATTTTTATCAAATAATACGTCATTAATAGCGGTTCACTTCCGCGATTTGGTACGATTGCGTTCACATCAGCAGCGAACCGTACCGGAGTTCACATGAACCATACCCCAGACCACCCTTTTTAGGGTGTGTTCACATTTGTAGTTTGGTTTGTTTGGTTAATTTGGTCCAGACCAAAAAGGAAAATGATACATTTGGTCCTGGTCCGCTTAGCGTTCACATTGGCATTTTTGACAGCGAACCTAAAGACAGCGAACCTAAAGGCATAGTGATACGTTCACAACCTGATTGGTCGGCTTGAACGACGTATATATCGTGACGAAATTCACCTAACACCCCAAACAAAAGGTGCATTAGACTTAAAGCGGCGCTGTGGGTGTATGATATCAAAGCACCCATTAACCGATCGATTTTAAGGCAAACACACCTAATGCCATCTGCTGGACTAAGCGCGCTCATTCTTGCGTGTACATGCGTTGGTTTCACCACCTGCAAACGCACAAGGAGCTCATAAAAGTCACTTTACCTCATTGTTGCTCCACGTTTGCCCTCTGCTCATTTTGTTTTGTTTACACCGCGTCGTCAATTCATGTCACATAGCGTCGCATCTTGTCATTACTTCCTGTTTTTGGTTCATTTAGAAGTATTTGGTCCGTGTTGCGTTCATATTTCAATCGAACCGCACCAGAGTTTGTTTGGAAGTGGACCGAGACCCATCTTTTTATTGGTCTCGGTCCGCTTGTTTGGTGCGCACCAGGGTTCGGATGGCAGCGTTCACACTTACTCAAACGAACCGCTTTAACAGAGCAATCGCACCAGAATGTGTTTTAATCTAACCTAACATGACAACTGTGAACAGACCCTTAAGTACCCTTAAGAGGACTCAGGCACGGTTCGCGGATGCGCACTCGAGTTCGGAAGACCGCATTCACATCATCCAAACGAACCGAACTCTGATGTCAATCGAACCCGGGTGCACACCAAAAGTGCTAGTGTGAAAGCACCCTTACTGCTTACCTGTTACCTGTTAATCAGCTGTCAATATCTATAGAGTGGAATGAGGAAAAAAGAATATTCTTGACAAGCAGGGCTGGACTGAGACAAAAAAATCGGCCCTGGCATTTTTTGTTCCAGGTAGCCCACCACCACTTCGATATATATATATATATATATACATTCCCAGTCAAAAGTTTTTGAACAGTAAGATTTTTTATGATTTTAAAGAATTATTTTCTGCTCACCAAGCCTGCATTTATTTGATCCAAAATACAGCAAAAGCAGAAATATTGATATTTTAAATTTACTATTTAAAATAGCAGTTTTCTATTTGAATATCTGTTAAACTGTAATTTATTTCTGTGATGCGCAGCT